CATAAAACATATATTTTCTTAAATTGGTTATAAAAAAATATGATTCAGAAATATATTATCGTATTTTCTTAAAAAGAGTTCAAATATTTGGATATTTTGTAAGAATATCATTTTTAAAGGTCAATGTGACATCTCGGTCTCGTATTTGGGTCGGATACGGTTTGGGGTGTTATATTTAATGGTATCAGAGCTACGGTTTAGCCGTTTCTAGGATAAAAACAAAGTCAAAAGTATTTTAAAAAGTATACATGCCAACATAAAGTGAAAAATTTTCTGATTTGATAGTGTAAAGAGTATATTGTCTTGTAAATAGAGTTAAATTATTATGTTATATTAGATGTATGATTCTTATCAAAAGTTATTTTAGTTGTATGATCATAAGAGTTTCCAAAGTGAAGCATAAGGCAATAGACTGAAGGTAATAGCATTCACCTGCCCTGGCCAGGCAGGGAGAAGAGCGAAAAACCTCAGGGCATGCCCGTACAAGATTAGAGAATGTTTCATGATGTTAAATGATATTATGATGTGTTTTTAATTTTCTACCTCTATAATTCATAGAATGAATGTATCGAAAAGAGTTGAGAACACCCGAGTTCAAGGGTGAATTTGAGAAATGTTCCTTTGTTATGGAAATTTGATTAAATGATAGAAAGATAATGTTAGAAAGTTTTCATTTCTCCAAATTGGAGAAGTTAAATTGAGTAGTTTTGTTACTACGTGGACAAGCTAGAAGTATGGTGGAAAAATATCACCATGAGAAGTTAAAAGACTCAGTGATGTGGTTATTATTTGTAGAAGAATTCAAGAATAAGTACATGGATATTTACTAAATGTAATAGTAAAGATGATAGAGTTATAAGATTGAAAAAAAGAAGATAAAGTGAATTAATTAAGTATGATATGGTTTTGAATATTGTTATGTATTTGGATCATATAAATATGTTGAAGGCAAAGAAAAGAGTATTTACAAGTTTTAAAGGGAATATTAAGGAAGAAAAATACAAGTACAATAGATGGTGAAAAATAAGATTATGTATAAGTAAATGGGATTATCAAAGTTAAGAAGATGCGATGAAGATCAGTAATAGGAAAAAAGTATGTGAACATGAATGAAAAATATATGATCTATGTATAAGGAGATTTTGATTTTAAAAGAATAATGGAATAAGCAAATAAAATGATGAAGTATAAAGGATCAGATGTGATAAAGGTTATATGAAAGTTTACATGATAAGTTTGATATAGAAATATGATAAATTTTAGAGGCAATAAAAAAAAGGATGGAATAAAAGTTTGGTTATAGTTGCAAGGCAATTAAAAATTTATGAGGAATTTAATTGATTTATGATGTTAAGTAATGAGAATGGAGGTTTCTGTTTATATAATGAGTGACATTATATGGATTTTAGAAGGTCAAAGGACAATGCATAATTGAATAAGAGAAAATACAGACATGGATTGAGTTCTTTGAAAATTGAAGGCAAATCATTGATTATAAAATGTGAAGGAGTAAAGTTGTGAAAGCAACATAAGAACATTAAAATATATGTTTTTGTTGATATGTACAATGAAAATTCGAGGACGAATTTTCTTAAAAGGATGGGAGATTTGTAATATCCCAAACTACGGGTTAGTGATTAAATTGTAAAATTTCAGAAATTGGTGATTAAAGTGGAAAAGTTGAATAGTTCAATGACATATTTAAAAATATTTCCTGAAAGTTGTTAGTAATTATCAAAGGAATTAAAGGGAAAAATGGTCATTTGACAAGAAAGATATTTTTTTCCTATTATATGAATGAATCATGTGGGGGGAAGAGTTATCTTCTTCTTCTTCTTGCTTTCTTCTTCTCTACTGTGGACTTCAAGAGCAAAGGTGAGATTTCTTAATTTTTGATTATTAGTTGAATTTTAAGTTGGGTTTTGATCATTAGATGATAACTAAGCTTAAGGAAAGCTTAAGTCGTCTTAAAATCAAAAGATGAAGAAGTTATGAAAGATTAAAGAAAATGGGTTTTTAAGTGAATTTTTGGAAAATAGATGATAAGTTGAATTTGAAACTAAATTTGACTTGTCATCAACTTAATTAAGAGATATGAAGTGATAGAATTGGATTTAGAGCATCTTGAAAATTTGGTATGATTATTGATTTCCATATGAAAGATGGAATTTTGAGGTTAAAGATTAGATAAATTGATATAAATGTGTTTAAGCATGTGTATGTGAGTTAAGGATATGAAAGGGGTTGAAAAATGACACAATTAAATTAGAAGGAAGTAATTTACGTGCATAAATAGAAATTATGGGCAGGTGCATCGATGCACTATGAGTGTGTACTGATGCACTAAGACAATTTTTTAATGTGCATCAATGCATTAAGGGGTGCATAGATGCATGGGAATTTTGAAGCTATTTTGTGTATCGATGCACCCATAGTGCATCGACCCCTAGAGGAAAACTGAATTTTTGGGTTCATTAAATTAGCTCAAGTTATTAGTATTGAATTATAAGGTTTAGGCTTCTGAAATTCATCTCAAAAATTATGTTTATGTAGATATTGAGCCTAAACAAATTCTGGAACAATCAAAGAATTAGGATCGAATCAAAGCAAGGCTAAGGTGAGTGCAATTTATTTTTTACTTAGGTTCTTGAACAAACATTGGCTTGCGATGAGCCAATGATGGAGTTACTATGGTAAGAAATAACTTTTAAAATGTTATGTGATTATTATGTGTGTGTTAGTATATAAAAAAATGGGTATATATATATTCTTATATGTACATGATTTACATGTTTACATGAAATTGCACTAGTGATATATATGATGTATTGGAAATATATAAGAACAAGAGATGACATGATTTGTAGGGTGTATGAATTCATGAGTAAAGGCATATTTGAATATAATTTGTATGCATTATATGTCATGTGAACATAAGAGGATAGAGCATGTTATATGATATGAGAATAATTGATTAAACACAATTTATATATATGTTTATATGAATCCATGCAAAGTGATATGAATTATGTGACATATGAATATGAATTCATTTGAAAAGTGACATGAATTACATGAAAGAAACTACATGATTACAGACATATGTGAACGAAGCTATGAGCTTATATGAATATGTGAAATGATAAATAATAATGACCATGTTATGTGATACGAGAGTTATAGGTATAGTTGGCATGCCAAGAGTCGAGGGTTTCATAGGTCCTTCGAGATAATACAGTGGTCCTTCGGGACAAATTTCATATGCCACACTGTGAGACTTATACGAGTTGTGGTGACAGCATTAGTGCACAACCTCAATGTACTTACATACCTTCAGTTCTCAACAGTGTACATGGGCTAATAAATAGATTAAACAAATATACTGAATGTGATATGTATATGTGAATTGTTATATGAAATAGATCATAGGATTTATATAATGGAGTATTGTTTGGTTAATGCATAATACGTTATGTATAAGATTGTTAAATTATAAGGATTAATGATAATGAATATGAAATGTTAAACGTGTTGATAAGGATATATGCGTATGTGGGTATATGTTATAGAAATGATATATGTTTTATATGATATGATCGTAATAAATGTTCATGCATTTGATATGAATTATATGATGTTAAGTGCATTTCTTTATGAAATGTTTTATGGTTTCCATTATATGTTTATATGTCTCACTAAGTTATCGACTTAGCGTGTGATTGTTTCATACGTAGGTTTGGAAAGCGAAAAAGAGAAGATTGATAAAAGTTATGCAAGACAGGTCAGTTCATCCTTTCCAAAGATCATATCAGAAAAGAAGTTAATAGTATGTATTTTGTAATACTTATAGTGGTTGGCATGTAAACAAAGATTTGAATCCGATTTGTTTTAATCGGTTTTGTAAATTAAATTTTGTAATATTTTAAATGTGAATATGTAAAAAGAAAATTTTATACGGATGAAACCTTGGATTTTATAAATATATATGTATTTTTACGAAGTTAGTGTAGCAGTACTATAGCAGTGCATCGATGCACTGTAGCAGTGCATCGATGCATAATTTATATTCGAAAATTTTCAATGTTCATGGGATTGTTCATTACTGTTCATATGGTACTGTTCAATGTTCATACCGTATTTTACTATTCATAAAACGTATATTTTCTTAAATTGGTTATAACAAATATGATTCACAAATATATTATCGTATTTTCTTAAAAAGAGTTCAAATATTTGGATATTTTGTAAGAATATTGTTTTTAAAGGTCAATGTGACATCTTGGTGTCGTATTCGGGTCGGATACGGGTTGGGGTGTTACATTTAATGGCATCAGAGCTACGGTTTAGTCGATTCTAGGCTAAAAACGAAGTCAAAAGTGTTTTAAAAAGTATACATGCCAACATAAAGTGAAAAATTTTCTAATCTGATAGTGTAAGGAGTATACTATCTTATAAATAGAGTTAAATTATTATGTTATATTAGATGTATGATTCTTATCAAAAGTTATATTAGATGTATGATCATAAGAGTTTCCAAAGTGAAGCATAAGGCAATAAGAATAATGTATCGAAAAGAGCGAAAACACCTGATTTCAAGGGTGAATTTGAGAAATGTTCCATTATTATGGAAATTTGATTAAATGATAGAAAGATAATGTTAGAAAGTTTTATTTCTCCAAATTGGAGAAGTTAAATTGAGTAGTTTCGTTACTACGTGGACAAGCTAGAAGTATGGTGGACAAATGTCACCATGATAATGTTAAAAGACTCAGTGATGTGGGTATTATTTGTAGAAGAATTCAAGAATAAGTACATGGATGACCAGTTCATAAGACAAATGAAGCTAGAATATACGAGCATGAAGCAAGAGAATTACACATGCATGTGTATGAGTATAAGTTTAATAAGTTAAGTAGATTTATTGCTGGGTTGATTCTGATTAAGAAAGATAAGAGGGATACATGTGATTGGTTGTTTAGGGCTTACGCCTTAAATAAAAAAAAGTGTTATTGGTTTTGAAATTTTCTCATTTCAAGAAATTGTTAATCGTGTAAAAGCTCTATAGAGAGCTTAGAATGAAAGGATCGGAGAACAAAAATCTCAGATGATTAAGAGAATTAGTGCTTCATAGAGTTAAGCACCATCACATAAAGGTAGAGATTATGGTTTCCAACTTTAAATCAGATATGAATTAGTTGTATTCTCCGCCAGAGAATCAAATCAGATGTGAGTCAAAAAGACTCAAACAGTAGGGTCTGATATTGGAAGATTAAACTAGTTAATTGATAATAAGTCAGGGTTAAAGACAACCTTGGTAAATTGGGTTAAAAAACTCTGTTAAAAGTGTTGTAAATTGAAGCAAGAAAATTATTTAAATGGATTAGATGAGTATTGAAATATGGTGATTGTTGAAACAATTGGAGAAAACACAAGTATAAGAATTATAGAAAAAAATAAGGTTCTGTGCAAGTAAAGTTGACTATCAAATTTATGAAAATATGATAAAGAGTTATAGTTAAGGATAAATATATATGATATACAAGAGCATGTGAGTATGAAGGACATGATATGGTTTAGTTAGGTATAAGACAAAGGTAAATGGAATGGTTGAATTCGAATCAAAGGAATTGTATTGTGGATGAATGATAATGAAGGTTTGATAAGTGAAGGAAATAGAGGATGAATTATTTTTGACTGGAAAGAATATATATGGATAGTTTGATGAAGGTTTACGTTTTGATTGAAAGAAATAAGTTGATTAATAAAGTAGTGTGATAACGAGTGTATTAAAGTTAAAGGATTTGAATGTTTGACGGAAACTAAGGATTGATAGAAAAGTTAAAAGGATAAAGAAGGAAAAGTATAAATGATATGAAAGGAATGTAAAAGCATAAGAAAAAAAATAATGAATGAATTATAGTAATGAAGTGAAGATTATGATAGCACGAAAGATTTATTGAAGAGGTGATATGTGAAAAGGAATATTAGACGTGTAAATAGTATTGTATATAAACAAGAATGTGGATATGATAAGGGATTTGCATTATAGATGGAAAGAGTTAGCAATGGCTAACAAAATTATGAGATGAAAAATGTATTGGAATTATAAGATATTGTTAGGTATGATAACCAAATATGATGTGGATTCGAATACAGTGTATATCTTAATTATGTAATGTGATGTAGTGAACGGCATAAGGATTTGAATATTCAAGAGAAGATAAAGAGTAATAGAAAATTTTAAGAACGAGTATGTCGGTGAACAGTTTATGAGATAAAGAAAGTTACAACGTTTGATTTTGAAACAGAGGACTAGTACTATGTGTGAGTAAGAGTAAGAGTTTGAAAAGTTGAGTAAGATACCGTTGAGGAAAATTTCAACGGAAAAGAAGGTATATGATCAGGTTGATAAGGGTTGTACCCTAGATTAAAAAGTTAAGGATTGCGTTCAGAAAATTAAATGTGCAATTGGATAATGTTATAGGATCTCCACTATTCTAAAGTGGAAAAGTTAGATAAAGTAATTTAGTTGCTAGGCAGTTGAGCTAAAATATGGTAAATAAATGTTATAATAGGAATAATGGAAAATTCATTGATGTGAATATTGTTTCGGAAAAGTTTAAAAAAATAGGTACGTCGGTGATTATTTTATAAGATGGAAGACGTTGAAATGTTGAGTGTGAATAAAGAAAATCACATGGTGTATGAAAATAAATGTGGATTTGATAAGTTAAGTAAGCTATTGTTGGGATAAATTCGATTGAAATAGATGTATATGATTAGATGATTAGGGCTTGTGCCCTAGATTGAACAACGGATATTTACTAAATGTAATAGTAAAGATGATAGAGTTATAAGATTGAAAGAAAAGATAAAGTGAATTAATTAAGTATGATATGGTTTTAAATATGGTTATGTATTTGGATCATATAAATATGCTGAAGGCAAAGAAAAGAGTATTTACAAGTTTTAAAGGGAATTTTGAGGAAGAAAAATACAAGTACAAGAGATGGTGAAAAATAAGATTATGTATAAGTAAAGGGGATTATCAAAGTTACGAAGATGCGATGAAGATCAGTAATAGGAAAAGAGTATATGAACATGAATGAAAAAAAATACGATCTATGTATGAGAAGATTTTGATTTTAAAAGAATAATGGAATAAGGAAATAAAATGATGAAGTATAAAGGATCAGATGTGATAAAGGTTATATGAAAGTTTACATGATAAGTTCGATATAGAAATATGATAAGTTTTAGAGGTAATCAAAAAAAGGGATGGAATAAAAGTTTGGTTATAGTTGCAAGGCAATTAAAAATTTATGAGGAATTTAATTGATTTATGATGTTAAGTAATGAGAATGGAGATTTCTGTTTATATAATGAGTGACATTATATGGATTTTAGAAGGTCAAAGGACAATGCATAATTGAAGAAAAGAAAATACAGACATGGATTGAGTTCTTTGAAAATTGAAGGCAGATCATTGATTATAAATTGTGAACGAGTAAAGTTGTGAAAACAACATAAGAACATTAAAAGATATGTTCTTGTTGATATGTACAATGAAAATTCGAGGGCGAATTTTCTTAAAAGGATGAGAGATTTGTAACATACCAAACTACGGGTTAGTGATTAAATTGTAAAATTTCAGAATTTGGTGATTAAAGTAGAAAAGTTGAATAGTTCAATGACATATTTAAAAATATTTCCTGAAATTTGTTAGTAATTATCAAAGGAATTAAAGGGCAAAATGGTCATTTGACAAGAAAGATATTTTTTCCTATTATATGAATGAATCATGTGGGGGGAAGAGTTATCTTCATCTTCATCTTCTTCTTACTTTCTTCTTCCCCACCGTGGACTTCAAGAGCAAAGGTAAGATTTCTTAATTTTTGATTATTAGTTGAATTTTAAGTTGAGTTTTGATCATTAGATGATAAATAAGCTTAAGGAAAGCTTAAGTCATCTTAAAATCAAAAGATGAAGAAGTTATGAAAGATTAAAGAAAATGAGTTTTTAAGTGAATTTTTGGAAAATAGATGATAAGTTGAATTTGAAACTAAATTTGACTTGTCATCAACTTAATTTTGAGATATGAAGTGATAGAATTGGATTTAGAGCATCTTGAAAATTTGGTATGATTATTGATTTCCATATGAAAGATGGAATTTTGAGGTAAAAGATGAGATAAATTGATATAAATGTGTTTAAGCATGTGTATGTGAGTTAAGGATATGAAAGGGGTTGAAATATGGCACAATTAAATTAGAAGGAAGTAATTTACGTGCATAAATGGAAATTCTGGGCAGGTGCACTATGAGTGTGTACCGATGCACTAAGACAATTTTTTAATATGCATCGATGAATTAAGGGGTGCATCGATGCATGGTAATTTCGAAGCTATTATGTGTACCGATGCACCCATAGTGCATCGACGCCTAAAGGAAAATTGAATTTTTGGGTTCATTAAATTAGCTCAAGTTATTAGTATTGAATTATAAGGTTTAGGTTTCTGAAATTCATCTCGAAAATTATGTTTATGTAGATATTGAGCCTAAACAAATTCTGGAACAATCAAAGAATTAGGATCGAATCAAAGCAAGGGTAAGGTGAGTGCAATTTATTTTACACTTAGGTTCTTGAACAAACATTGGCTTGCGATGAGCCAATGATGGAGTTACTATGGTAAGAAGTAACTTTTAAAATGTTATGTGATTATTATGTGTGTGTTAGTATATAGAAATGGGTATATATATATTCTTATATGCTACATGATTTACATGTTTATATGAAATTGCACTAGTGATATATATGATGTATTGGAAATATATAAGAACAAGAGATGAAATGATTTGTAGGATGTATGAATTCTTGAGTAAAGGCATATTTGAATATAATTTGTATGCATTATATGTCATGTGAACATAAGAGGATAGAGCATGTTATATGATATGAGAATAAATGATTAAACACAATTCATATATATGTTTATATGAATCCATGCAAAGTGATATGAACTATGTGACATATGAATATGAATTCATATGAAAAGTGACATGAATTACATGAAAAAAACTACATGATTACAGACATATGTGAACGAAGCTATGAGCTTATATGAATATGTGAAATGATAAATAATAATGCCCATGTTATATGATACGAGAGCTATAGGTATAGTTGGCATGCCAAGAGTCGAGGGTTTCATAGGTCATTCGGGATAATACAGTGGTCCTTCGGGACAATACAGTGGTCCTTCGGGACAAATTTCATATTCCACTCAGTGGGACTTATATGAGCTGTGGTGACAGCATTAGTTCACAACCTCAATGTACTTGCATACCTTTAGTTCTCAACAGTGTACATGGGCTAATAAAGATATTAAACAAATATACTGAATGTGATATGTATATGTGAATTGTTATATGGAATAGATCACAGGATTTATATAATGGAGTATTGTTTGGTTAATGCATGATACGTTATGTATAAGATTGTTAAATTATAAGGATTAATGATAATGAATATGAAATGTTAAACGTGTTGATAAGGATATATGTGCATGTGGGTATATGTTATAGAAATGATATATGTTTTATATGATATGATCGTAATAAATGTTCATGCAGTTGATTTGAATTATATGATGTTAAGTGCATTTCTTTATGAAATGTTTTATGGTTTCCATTATATGTTTATATGCCTCACTAAGTCATCGACTTAGCATGTGATTGTTTAACACATAGGTTTGGAAAGCGAAAAAGAGAAGATTGATAAAAGTTATGCAAGACATGTCAGTTCCTCCTTTCCAAAGATCAAATCAGAAAAGAAGTTAATAGTATGTATTTTGTAATACTTATAGTGGTTGGCATGTAAACAAATATTTGAATCCGATTTGTTTTAATCGGTTTTGTAAAATCATATGATTGAATTTTGTAATGTTTTAAATGCGTATATGTAAAAAGAAAATTTTATACGGATGAAGCCTTGGATTTTATGAATTTATATGTATTTTTACGAAGTTACTGTAGCAATGCATCGATGCATAATTTTTATTCAAAAATTTTCACTGTTCATTACTATTCATACGGTATTGTTCACTGTTCATATCGTATTTTACTGTTAATAAAACGTATATTTTCTTAAATTGGTTATAACAAATATGATTCACAAATATATTATCGTATTTTCTTAAAAAGAGTTCAAATTTTTGGATATTTTGTAGGAATATCATTTTTAAAGGTCAATGTGACATCTCGGTCTCGTATTCGGGTCGGATACGGTTTGGGGTGTTACATCATATCCCTTAATTCTATTGATGACAAGTCAAATTTGGTCTAAAAGTCTAAATATTATCTTTCTACCAAGATTTCACTTTTTCACTTCCTTTCTTTAATCATTCATATACCTTTCATCTTGTTGTTTTTAAGACAAATTAAACTTTCCTTAAGCTTAATTATCATCTAGCGATCATAAACCAACCTTGAATTCATGATGAAATTATCTAACCATGAACTCACATTTGCTCTTGGCTTCCACGCGTGAAGAAGAAAGTAGAAGAAAAGAACTCTAGAAACTAGAACATTGTCTCCTCTTCACTTCCATGTGGTCACTCCCTTAAAAACGGGAAATAAAAATCTTCCTCTGCCAATTGACCATTTTACCATTTACTTTATTTTAAAATTACCAATAACTCTTCACAAAATATTTCTAAATAAGTCCCTAAACTTTTTAATCTTTTAAAAATCATACCTCAAAGTTTCAAAACTTCTAATTTAGTCCCTAACCCTGATTTTGGGATATTACAAATCTCCACTCCTTTTTAGAAAATTCGCCCTCGAATTTTCATTACACTAATAGATGAAGATATTGTTTACACATATCCTCTTCATATTCTCAGGTTGTCTTCTCACCTTAATCTTTTGTTTTATCTTGGCTTCCATTGCTTCACTTCTTCAACTACCTTTTTTCTTTTATATATCCATACTAAGTCACTTATCATATAAACAATAATTTGTAACCTCAATCCTTTCCATTCAGGATCATGAATCAACTGCTTCATTATTAATCTTTAATTACCTCACCACAATAACCAAACTCTTATTCCATCACCATTTAACCCATAACACAACCTTAAATCTTCTTCAAATGTGATTAAACATATACTTTACGAAATCAAACAATCTTTTCACATTACCTTGAACACTTTTCTTACTTATATATCAAACTTATCATCTACACTACCATATAACCTTTATCATATCTAATCCTTTAAAATTCATCCATTCATTTCATTATTTCATTTATCCTTTCATAATCAAGATCTCCTTATAAAATAACTAAACCATATCTCTCACCCTTTTTCTCAGATTTTTTCATATTACTTATACTTATCTTTGATTACGCATCTTTATTACATCTTTATAACTCTTATAATCCACATGTGTTACTCAAAATCTTATTTTTATAATCCACATATTCTACTATTATCTATATCTTTCTTTGGATACACAAATCCTTATTTTTTTAGCTATACCACCTTTACATAACCAAAATACACTTATCATATCCAAATCCACATCATACTTGATTACTTAACTTTATATCTTTTCAAAATCTTACCACTCTATCAACTTTTACTATTACAACTAGTCAATATTAATTGTTCAATCTAGGCACAAACTCTAATCAACCAATCATATACATCCTTTTCGATCAGAATTATCTCAACAATAGTTTACTTAACTTATCAAATCCACATTCATACTCATACATCATGTTGTTTAAACTCAACATTCTAACTTTCTTTGTCTTATAAACTAATCACAGATGTACCCCTTCTTAAACTCTTCTTTATCAATCTTTAGCTTTACTCAAACATACGAATCCTCACCTCCTTTACTATATCACATTACTAGGATTAAGATATACACCTGTATCCAGATCTACTTCATATTTTGATA